AACCCCTACCCTTGCCTCCCTCTGGCTGGGGAGGCCAAGGGCCCGGCCCCTTCGTGACCAGCCTGCCCGGCCCCCAGGTGGATGTGCACATCATGATGCAGCCGCCTTCGGGTGAGTGGCTGTATCTGGACACGCTGGTGACCAACAGCAGCGGGCGGGTCTCCTACACCATCCCCGAGACCCATCGCCTGGGTGTAGGCGTCTACCCCATCAAGATGGTGGTCAGGTACGCACCTCTGGGGGGCAAGCAGGCCAGGCCGGCCACCTCTGGGGCAGGAAGAAGAGGGTCTGGTGGGTTCTGATGAGCTCCCCCTCCCAGGGGAGACCACACGTTCGCAGACAGCTACATCACCGTGCTGCCCAAGGGCACGGAGTTCGTGGTCTTCAGTATCGACGGCTCCTTTGCTGCCAGCGTGTCCATCATGGGCAGTGACCCGAAAGTGAGGGCCGGGGCTGTGGACGTGGTGCGGTGAGTGATCCCAAAGGGCACGGTGGGTGGGCTCAGGGGCAGGAAGCAGGCCAAGCTGGGGAGGGCTCTGGGCACCAGAGCAGGGGCTCGCGGAGTCCGCAGCACCATCGGCTGGCTGGGTGGCCAGTTCCTGGCCTGAGAAGTGGGGCTCCCAACAAGACCAGTTGTACCTGCCACAGAGCGCGTCCCCAGGGACCGTGTGACTTGTGACCGCCCTCGTGGCTCTTACTATTTCCGCTGAGCCCCAAAGATGCACTTTTCTGCGGCTGGACAAGGAGGCAGGGTGGCCCGGGAGGGAAAACGGGGCGGCCGTCGGACACCCAGTCCTCCCCCTTGGTGCCAGGCACTGGCAGGACCTGGGCTACCTCATCATCTACGTGACGGGCCGGCCTGACATGCAGAAGCAGCGGGTGGTGGCGTGGCTGGCCCAGCACAACTTCCCCCACGGCGTGGTGTCCTTCTGTGACGGCCTGGTGCACGACCCGCTGAGGCACAAAGCCAACTTCCTGAAGCTGCTCATCTCCGAGGTGGGTCCCAGGCGGGAGGGATCGGGGCTGGAGGGCGGGGCGGGAGGGATAGGGGAGGGGCTGGAGGGCGGGGCTGGGAACGGGGCGGGAGGGATCGGGGCGGGGCTGGAGAGCGGGGCTGGGGGCGGGGCGGGAGGGATCCGGGCGGGGCTGGAGGGCGGGGCGGGGCTGGAGGGCGGGGCGGGGCTGGAGAGCCGGGCCGCGCCCACAGCCGTCTCTCCCACAGCTGCACCTGCGCGTGCACGCAGCCTACGGCTCCACCAAGGACGTAGCGGTCTACAGCTCTATCAGCCTGTCCCCCATGCAGATCTACATCGTCGGCCGGCCCACCAAGAAGCTGCAGCAGCAGTGCCAGGTGAGTGGGCAAGTCGTGGTGGGCGGCACGGGCAGGCGACCCCGACAGGCCGCCCCCGTGACAGCCAGTTTTCCCCACCGCCCTCCCCTGCAGTTCATCACGGACGGCTACGCGGCGCACCTGGCCCAGCTCAAGTACAACCACCGGGCGCGGCCAGCCCGCAACGCGGCCACCCGCATGGCGCTGCGAAAAGGCAGCTTTGGGCTGCCCGGCCAGGGTGACTTCCTGCGCTCCCGGAACCACCTGCTCCGCACCATCTCGGCCCAGCCCAGCGGGCCCGGCCTGCGGCAGGAGCGGACACAGAGCCAGGCGGACAGCGAGCAGCGAGGACAGCGCAGCATGAGCGTAGCGGCTGGCTGCTGGGGCCGCACCATGGCCGGCCGGCTTGAGCCAGGGGCAGCCGCGGGCCCCAAGTAGGACACCGTTAGTGAGGCCTCGTGGTCTCCGTGGTGCTAGGCCAGGGCGGCCAGCCCGGCCAGGGGGCCTGGCCTGGGCACACAGTGTCGGCTGGAGACAGGCTTGTCCCAGAGCCTGGCGGAGGACATAGGCTGCGCCGCACAGCCCTCCCAGCCCTGCCTCATGTCCTAGGGTCTGCGGGGTTCCAGCTTGCAGCACAGCCTGTCCCAGGATGACACAGGGACCAGGACTCCCCACGTGGACTGGCCTGAAAGGCACTCCTAGACACTTGCCCTGCATTGACCTCCCAGCATCCTGATGCCAGGCCCGGGCCCAGGCCCCACCTGCCACCTCCCATCCACTAGCTCACCCTGACCCCCAGGTCCCCTCCCACTGGGTAGCAGCTCCAGTCGGGGACAGCCTGCTTCTTGTTAACTCTAGTTACTCAACTGTTCAACCTCACTGGTTTTGCACTGATTTTTGAGAGTGGAGATCCGTCACCATCTCCTGTGGCTACAGACTCATTGACACGCATGAAAATCCGACGTTTTGCTGATCTGAGACCTGTTGCTACACAGAAGGCTCCAGGGCGGCAAATCCTTGTGCAAGCAGGAAGAGAAAGGCCATATCTTAATTTCCGCAGCTCCGCCTGGCCCTCCAGCGCTGTGGCAGCCCGAGCCCTGCCCACCTGCCCCACCTGGAACCCAGTCTGGCAGCGAGGCTGGCAAGGCCCAGAGCCGGCTCCCAAGAAGCCACGCCTCGGGCTCCTGGGCCTGGCCAGGCCCAGCCTCCTCTTCCACTCACCTGCCGCCAGCTGAGGCCGCGGGCCTCGGCTCTCCTGCGTTTCTACACCTTTCTACTTATCCAATCTGATTTCTATGAGGTTTTTTTAAATCAGCGATCCTTGGCTGCTTCCTTTTCTTAACTCTTTCAGTACCAAGCGCAGCCCCTCCACGTGAAAACACCCAGCACTGTGACGGAGTCCAGCCTGGTTCTGGGTCCCGGGGCCCTGCCCCCTGCCCACGCAGTGAGGTGTGGGGTCCCTGCCTCACCCAGCCCCCATTAATTCCACTGAATTTCTACTCTGGGGTGAATGGGCACACACTTAGGTTTTTTTAATGCCAATTCCGTTTTGATGCCGAATCTAAGAAGCCACAACTTGCTTCGTTAGCTTAAGGGCAGCAGCCACGACTTCATTCCCCACCTGTTAAGGACCACGACGTCCTGCACGCTGGGTCTGAGCATCCGTCCTCCCTCCCCAGAACCGACCACAATCTCAGCTGTGGCGCTCAGCCCCGGGCCGCCCTTCGACCGCTCCTCCTCCACCTCCTTCTACGAGGCGGGGGAGCCTGCCTGGCCAGGCTCCGACTCGGAGAAGCTGCTGCCAACCTGGACACGGCCTCGGGGCCTTGTAGGCTGGGATGGGTAGGCGTGCAGATCGATGTTCACCTTTTCCCGTGTGTAGATATGTACAGCCAAAGGGTTGTGTAAATGTTCTGCAAAAGTGGGTCTATACAGAGTGAAAGCTATTTATTTTGTGCAGAGAAAATTTTCTGGAGGGATAGGACCTTCAGGGTTTGTTCATATTTAAGATGTAGCTTTTTGTTTCCGTTTCAGGCGTTCTGTATAAAGCAACGATTATTTTATGGACCAAGTTTTAATGTAAGTGTTGCAATGAAAGTGCAATATCTGACCCCCCCTCTGCTCCCCGGCGGGAAATCGCTCGTCCCGACAATCACAGCCCCGGCGAGGGGCCCCTGTGGCCAGTGCCTCCTCTGTCGGTCCCACCTCACCCCACCCTGCCTACTGCCTCGGTGACCAGCCATCTGGAGAAGCACCTGGAAGAGTCTCGGGCCCGCCTGCAATACAGGCTGGGAGGCCTCCTGGCCCGGGGAGGCCGTGTGGGCAGTGGGCTCGGCCCCTCCCAGGGGGCAGCTCCCCCCAGCTCCACACTCCCCGCCTGCCTGCCCAGCTGCCAGCCATGCCAAGGACAACAGCAATAGTCCCCTGGGCCTCTCCCAGCGGCCTTTAGCCATAGATGGTGAGATGGGCAGCCCACCCTCCCCGTTGACATCTCTCTATATCCAGGTCTGCTTCCTGCCTCCCTTAAGATTCCCTTTGGCACATTCTCCTCTTAAGGAAGCACGTTTTTCAGAAACTAAGAGAGGGAGGGCAGAGTCCTTTAAAAATACCAAAAATGTTTACAGTGTTGGGTGCTGAGCTGCAGGGCTCAGGCCTGACCAGTCGTAACCAAAGGGTGAGGCAGGCCTTGCTGACTGCCACCCCCACCCCGGGCCTGTTAGAGTAGAAGCCTTAGTCCCACTCCCAGCCCCATACTGAGCCTCAGTCCACCACCCCAGACCCAACCGCCTGCCTTCTCTTTGATTTCTACAGACGGATTCATCAGAGACCCCACCCCCAATGTCCCCAGCTCTGTCTGAGCTGCCCGCCCACCACCCACCTCACCCACCTCGTTAGTTTTCTTGTCTTGGCCCCTCCTGTCTCTGTCTGGGCCGTGTGTGAGCCGTGTCCTGACTCGCCCCGTCTGCCCTTGCTATCCCTGCACCTTTGGGCCTGAGTGTGCTCTGTATACAGTGTCATTGTCTGTTACACCAATTAAAGAAGCAGGAAGGCTTCCTTCTGGGTCTCTTTACTACACCAGTAACCACAGAGCACAGGGGCGGGGTCTGGGGTGGGGGCATGGCCTGTCCCGGAGCTAAAGCTATGGTGGGGGGGGGGGGGCGGAGGCTGTCCTTCCCAGGGAACAGCACCCGCTACACTGGCTGTGACACCAGCACACGTAGGCAAGCCTTACCCTGCACCGGGCCTCCTTCCAGCCCCGCTTCCTGGGCATGAACTCGGTTCATCCTCACAGCAACCCAGTGAGCTGGATGCTGAACAAGCCTCTGCTTTACAGAGGTCACAGCTAGTAACGTGCAACCCGGCCGCGCGGCCCCAGCACCAGGCCTCTGTGCCGTTGTCATCCGCAGGAAGAAAGCGCAGGAGGCAGCCTCCCTCCAAGTCTGAGGGGATGGGGTTTAAGAGCCAAGTCTCTGGGTTGGGATTCAGCTGGGGGTGATGGTCAGGGCCCGGTCTAGGCAGGCTGACCTGAGGATGAGCAGGGCAAAGGGGGCTGGTGTGGCCTGTGCTCGCAAATGTCAGGGCACAGCCCACCCTTCCCCCAATAGTCTGTTGTCTGGAAGTTGGGTGGCAACCTTCCCTCCCTTCAGCACCAAAAGCCGACATAACAAAGTTTCCAACCAGGGCACATTTAATATTTGGGAAGTGGTGCTCTTGCAGGAGATGGAGGAGCTGATTAGGCCAGTGACCCTGTCCTCACCCCCTGCGTCTGAGAGGTGGCTGAGCCACAGGCCAGTCCACAGGAGGGAAGGCAGACAGCACCTACTGCGCTTCCTGCGGCCCACCCCGAAGCCGGCGTCCAGGCCGCACCACCAGCACCTAGCCTGCAGGGCCCTCAGGGCAGCAGCCCTGCTCGCATCTGGAAGGCCAGGCCATCCCCTCGGGTAGCTTGCTGGAGAAGAAAGCACATAGGAGAGGACACATCAAAACCAGAGCAGGGTGTGGACGCCGGGCAAAGGGGTGACACCAACCTTGTTGATCTCTCTGTGTCGTTCCTTAGTTACGATTTCCTCTAAGACCTCGCCATCTCCCTTAATGAGCCTGGGGGAGGAGGGGAGAGGAGGCTGAGCCTCGATGCCAGAGCAGCAGAACCAGACCAGGTGGCAAAGACTTGGCAAAGCGATGCCAGGGCTCAGGCCCCTGCCACCCTGAGCAGGCGGGACCTAGGTGCTCCCCCCTCTCCCTCCCTCCTACCCTTGGGACAGTGATAAAAGCAGCTGGGTTAGGGTCTGCGGTGAGACCGACCAGTTGGCTCTTTGAAGACATTCCTCAAGGCCCTTCCAGCCCCTGCCAGTGCTAGCTCCGGGCAATAGGGAAGAACGGCCTAAAAACTCCCAGAAACAAGTTGACTAGTCTTCTCCCGTCTTTGGCTTTTCAGCGCGGCAGCCGTCGCCCCTCCTCCTGAGCGTGCGGGTGGCCGGGGGGGGGGGGGGGGGGGGGGGGGGGGGGGGGGGGCTGAGCTCTGCCAAGCGCTCCCCACCTGGTGCGTCCCGTCTCCGGGTCCACCACCTTGCGGATGACGCTCTGCCGAGCGTCCCACTCCTCCTTGGTCATGGGCTTCATGGCCTGGATGCGGGACTTCTGTTCATCCGTCAGGACTGCAAGCGGAGTCAGCGGGGAGTCGGCAGCTGGTCTGGGGGGGACCCGTCCCCTCCTGCACGCGGGTGGCGCCACCGTACCTGGGCCGTCTTCCTCCTCAGCTGACCGGTGCCACTGGTCCAGCGAGGGTCCCGGCAGAGCCTCGCCCTGCTGCCCCTTCGCCTTCTCCTTGCCTTTCTTCTTCAGCCTCTTCTTCCTCTTCTTCTTCTTCTTCCTCTTCTTGTCCTTGTGCTTCCCCCGCTTCTTCCGGCCGCCACTGGAGGAAGAGGAGGAGGACGAGGAGGAAGAAGAGCTAGAAGAACTGGAAGAAGAGGAGGAGGAGCTGGATCGTGGTCTCCTCCGGGCCTTGTGCTTGCTTCTCTCTGTGATGCAGGGAGAAGGCGAGGCTGGAAGGCCAGGAGGGGGAGAGGTAAACTTTCGTCCCCCGGCTCTGGCCTGTGGCAGGTTTAGGGGGAGTCCTCAGGGGTGAGACCCTCCAGACCCGGCTTTCCAGCCAGAGCAGGGCTCGGCACTCTCTGGAGGGGCGCTTTCCGAGCCTCAGCCAGTCACTGTCCGACCAGGAGCAGGGCGGCCAGCCCCCGTATCTCAAATCCTGCCGCACAAAAAGCCGCACTAAGTGCCCCCTTCGATCCTTACACACGGGCTGGCCCAGCCCCTGGAATCTCAGGGTCTTTCAACCCAGACGTGGAGGTCCCGCATTCTGCAGTCCTCTCACGACCGCCCACAGCCGTCCCGGGACGCCCGCCCGCGGCTTCCTCCCTGAGGTTCCCACACCCGTCTCCCCATACCCTCCGGTCCTCACCCTCCGCCCCAGAGATGGTGCTGGCCTTGTGGTCTTGGGATCTAGAAGCCGAGCAGCTCCTCGGGACGTCCTTACTGCTCTTCTTCCTTCTCTTTTCGGACCCTCGCCCCCGGGACCGGCTTCGACTCCTCGAGCGCTTGCGAGAGCTGACGTGAGCCATAGCGCCGCGGGCTGGAGACGGGGAGACCCGTTCAGACTGAGGCTCACGGAGCCGATGCCCACGCGGGACTCCAGGGGCGGCTCTTCTCGGGGCCTGGCTCGCGGGGGCCCAGTACCCATCACCCCCCGGGGCAGGGACTTGAGGGGGTCCGCGGCCACCGCACGACCCTCGCCCACCCCGACCACCGGGGACCTCAGCTCCTGCGCCGACTCCCGGATCCTCTGCCCCTTTAAGGGCCCGCCCCCGCCCGGCCGCTCCACGCCTGCGCACCGGCGCTCTGGCGCCCCAAGGAGCGGCCGCGGTCCCCGGCTGCCAGGTGCGTTCCGATTCCCTCCCCGCGCGCTCCTACCCTCCACCCCCCGCGGCCTCCACGGCCTCGCCGCCTTGGGGAAGGTCCCCGCAGCTGCTCCGTTCCCTCCTCAACCACCCATCGGGCGGGACCACCCGACCCGCGCCACGCCTTCGCGTGAGGAAGCGGCGGCGAGGTGACTTCCGGCCTAGGCAGTGCTCTGAGAGGCCGTCCGGCTGGAAAGCGAGGCGCTGCCCCCTTTAGTCCCGAGGCTCCAGGTTCCCGATTCCAGGGCTGCGGGAGAAACGAGTCTGGCTCGCCCACCTCCGGAAGAGGGAAGCAGGGGATCCAGGCTTCGGCCGCAGCCCTGTCCGCTTCTCAGACTGCCCTCTCCCCGAAGACCCAGGGAAGAAGGCGACCCGATCGTGCGCCTCTTTCCTCCCTGAGGTGGCTGCCGTCCTGGCGGCCACCCTAGCAGGTCAGGGGACACCTTAGTCACTCCAGCGTCCCACCTGGTAATAGAGGTGGCGAACAGATGTCCACAGGGGCCGGAGAGATCATGACAGTGGGCCAGGGAGGGACCCCGGTGAGGGAATGTGCCACAGGCCTGTCCACCGTGGGCAGCGGAGACTCTGCTGCAGCGGATTTCTCCAGCGTGGACCGGGGCCTGGTGTTGCCCATCTTCCCACCTTCCCGGGGAAGCCTGAACTCAAGATTTCAACATGGGAACCCCTGGGTTTCCAGGTGTACAGCCCAAACCCGGCACAGCTGCCCTCCTCGTCCAATTTGGGGGCGGCCACGTTGCAAGTTTTTCAGTAATGACGAGAGCAAACACAGAGGGCTGTTACAAAGCACTTTATATACATTAAATCATTTCACTCTCAAAACAGCTTTAGGAGAGAAGTAGTTCCCAGATAAGGAAAACTAAAGCACAAAGGGGTCAAGTGGCTTACTTGCAGCCACGCAGCTGGAAGTGGCAGGATCAGAATTTGAACCCAGGCAGTCTGGCTCCAGAGTGCCTGCTCTTAACCCCCCGCGGTAAGCGCTGGACACCAATTCCCTGGGCCCCTGGGAACCACCACCTCCCTCCCCACCCACCCCACCAGCCCAGCCTTGACACACCTGTAAGCCAATAACCGATGCAAGGGGCAAACTGCTACCTGCATGCTCTAGAGCGTTGTGCTCCGTGGGATCGGGCTAAGGCTAGGTGCCTTCTGAAACCACATCGTGGCCCAGCTCCTTCCTGCCCGGTCCTTCTGAAGGTGGTCCCTCCACAAACCACCTGCACCCGAATCCTCAGCTCAGGCTCTGGTTCTGACGCGCCCAGCCTAAGCCAGCCGGTCTGCTGAAAGAATGACTCCAAGGCTTGTGTGTCCTTTTGAACTGAGAAGCGCATGAGGGCTGCAGGGAGTTTATTCCTGCCCCGTCCAACCCAAAGGGGCAGAGCCCTCGCCGGCCATGCCACCCCCACACCGGGGCCCAACCAGGCTCAGGTCAGTGCACACACATCCACCGTGGCAGGCTCCTCTCGAGTGAAGCCATCGCCGAAGCCATCGTCATCCACCAGCTCAGGTTTCCGGCAGCACATGGGGCACAGGCGGTTGCGCACAGCAGAAGCCCGGAGCCAGACGACAAGGTTCCAGCGCTCGCCAGTGCCTAGGGGCCGGGCCCCGTGCAGCTGGCCCCCCCGGTGCAGGATGCCCTGGCCCACCACGTGCTCCACGTCCAGGGGCCTGGCCAGGGCTGAAGGTGCCTGCAGACAGCGGGGCTCAGGCGTGGGCACTCCTGGCTGCCCCCAGCCCTGCCCCCCGGGTCACACACACTAACCTGGAAGAAGTCCCCGAAGTACAGGGCACCCCCCGTGAAGGCCTTGCCCAGGGCCACATTGAGGGTGAGTTCGGCGTTATCATAGTGGCAGCCTAGCTCGCGGTCCTGGCCCGGCGCGTACTTGACCACGAAGGCACGGTGGCTGTCGAGCCAGCCCCCGCCGCAGTCTGGGTACAGCAGGGCCATCAGTGGCTGCAGGAAGCGCTCCCGCAGCGGCGTCACCAGTGGCTCGTCCAGGCCTAGCTCATGCAGCAGCACCTGGGAGGGGATCCCGGGAGTCGGTGGGGAAACTGGTGGGGGCCTCCCCTTGGGCCCGGGGGGGGGGGGGGGGGGTTCTTACTAAGGGCAGCAACAAGCGCCTTGCGATATGGATGGACTTAACTTCATAATAATCCGACCGTGACCTCATTTTACAGACTGGGAGACCAAGACCAATGGGGTCCAGCCGCTCTTCTCCAGCCCCCAAGTCCCTGCCGCCTCGGGCCCCCCGGACGGAGCCGCACCCACCCCGTAGTTGTTCATGGTGTTAGGCCTTCCCTTGGGCATGTCCGAGCGCTCGAAGTGCTCCAGCTCCTCCAGCAAGGCCCGGCAGAAGGGCTCTGTGAAGACCGGCAGCCGGTAGATACGCTTGTCGCCTGCAGAGGGAGGGGCGGTGTGCTGGCCGGCAGCCTCCGCGGGGGGCTCAGCCTCCTGGTGAGCTGTGTGAGCCTGGGCGTGTCTTTTCACATCCCCCAGCCTCAGTTTCCTCATCTGTACGATGGGGCTAACCCAGGTACTCGCTTCTCAGGGCTGTCGTGACTGTGTGATGACGTGTGCGGGCAGCAGGGGGCGTATTCCCGGGCCCCCTTATTTGTCCCCGGAGCCTCTCCTGCTGACGCAGGTGCCCACAGCCCAGCCTTCAGACACAGATGTGCTTCTGGTGAGGCCCATAGGTGGGATGGGATTAGCCCAACAGCACCCAGCAGGCCAGTGGTGGAGACAAGCGGGCCAGCATCAGGCTTTCTCTGCACCGCACCCCATGAGCCACCACCATCTGTCCCCAACTGACGTGCCTCTTGGAGCTCCTGTTCCCCACACAGGAGGGCTGAGGGGGGCTGCTCTCTCCTGCTGGGCCCTGGTGGGGAGAGGCTAGGCTCCAAGCGGAAACGCAAACATTTCTTGGCAGATGCACCAACACCCTGGGGTGCACGGCTGGTGTGCCCCCCGCACTTTTGGCCAGTCACAGCTGACAGCCATCACCCAGACGGCCGTTCTGTGACGGCCGTTCCGCGACCTCGGACGTCAGGGATTGGACGGGAATGAGGAGGGATGCCCCCAGGCTGGAAGGGGATGTTTCATTCACACACCACCCTGTGCCTTGCAACAGAGCACAGGCTTCACAAGGGAGCAACACCTCACACCTGTCTCCCCACAGCACCCCCCGCCCCCCCCCGTCCAGGCCTAGGCATAACCGTAACCGAAAGACTGAGGAAACCTAAACGCTCTGCGCCCAGCCCTGTAGGCACATTACCTCACTTAATCACACTTTATGAGATGGGTATTACTATTGCTCCCATTTCACAGATGATGAAACTGAGGCCGTGGGATTAACAAACTTGGAGGGGCCGGACTTCCTGCCAGGGTCAGTGAGAGGGAGGGCCCAGCAGGAGATTCAAAGGCTGGAAAGGTGCAGCATTTCTTAGTTTGGCTTGGCTTTGTGCTTCCGCTCAAGGCCACGGCTGCTACCTGGCAGCTGCCACCTGCCCCTCTCGCACAGCTCCAGGTCGTGGCGGACTCAAGACACTCCACTCTTGACCACTTCTCCAGGTCTAGGGATAAGGAACTATCTGCTCCCCGCCCCCTAGCCCTCTGGGGGGGGGGGGGCGGTGGGGATGGTCCTTCACTGTTCCCTGCTGATCACTGAACTCCGTGCACACCTGTGTCAGCTGTCCCTTCCTTAAGCCACCCCCGTTCGAGTGTGCAGGCTGGCTCCCACCTGACACGGGCGGCTGGGCAAGTGAGCAAATACAGGCGCCCTGCTGCTGGCAGCTCAGGCCCCCAGCCCTTAGAGCTCCTGCTGGCTTGGATTTTGGAGGCAGACCTGGTGGGTGGAGGGACCCCACCCCCTAGTCCTAGTCCCACTGGGTGATGGGGCCAGACCTCACCAGACACGGTCTCCAGCCGCTGGAGAAGGCCCTTGAGGTCCGCACCCGGGGACGCGCTGTACTCCGCTGCGGCCAGAAACTCAGAGGCCAGAGCCTCATCCTGGGGGCAAAACACAGCAGCTGTGGGGTAGACGGCCTCCAGCGCCGCAGCCTCCAGCGCCGCAGCCTCCCCGCCTCCAGCAGCCCGCCCCCGCCCCGTACCTGCAGCGGGTGGTAGAGGTCAGGCCGCGCGGGGTGGTAGGAGCTTGAAATGAGGGCCTTCCTGGCAGCCGACTCCTGCCCCAGCCGCCGCCGCCGCTCCACCTCCTGCTCAAGCTGGGGGGGGCCCAGGGCCGGGTTATCCAGAGGGAGCCTCCCATTACACCCCCCCAAGGTCATTGTACAGATGAGGAAACTGAGGCTCGGGAAGGCTAGAGCAGGGCCCAGGCTGAGAGCCCAGTCTCCCCACACACCTGACTCTATCAGGGTAAATGGAGGTGCTAAGCTGTTCACTGACGGCAACTCCTTCTGGAAGAGGGCCCATCCCATCTGGGTTGCACCGTTCAGAGCCGGGCGGGGAGGAGAGCCCTCCACGCATCTCAGCCAGCGGGGCCACCGAGGGCGGGGAATGGGGTCCCAGAGGCTGCAGGGGGCTCACCTAGGAAGCTTCCCATTACTACCCCCCAGCCCCAGATGAGGGAGGGAGTGGAAGATGAGTAGCAGCAGCCCTGGCACCAGCCAAAGGGGGTGGGTGGACAGACGAAGCTCCATGTACTGTGACACCTCGGGCCAGTAATTCCCTCTTTAAGCACAAGTTTCTCTCTCAGGAGGTCATGGGGTAGACGACCTGGCATTTACCACTGTCTCCTTTCCTGGCGTCAGGACCCAGGTGCTGCAGTGAGTGGGCACAGGAAGACCCCCCCCCCCAAACTACTGACACAGATCTAAGGAGGAAGGGCTAGGCGGGGGTGTGCAGGGGGCCGGGAGGGTGGGCAGCCTTACCTCTCCTAACAGCTGCTGGAAGTCCTTGGGGCTGACACATCCTCGGCCGCGCAGGATCTGAGAGCAGAAAGTCCGGGGAGCTCAACTGTGTGGCCTTGTAAGTCACTTAACGTCTCTGAGCCTCAGTTTCCCCTGGTTAAGATGCAGATGAGAGCCCGGACCTCAAAGGATCATTGCGGGGATGAAATTCGATACGCACTTAAAACAGACAACACCTAGAGCGCCCCAGCCTGGCCCTGCCCTCGGCCCTTTACTCCTTCCTGCCTTCCTTCTTTTCATTCATTCATTCCCTACGACAACCTCACTAAACACGCACTATTAGCCCCCTTTAAGGTGAGAAGAGCGAGGCACCCAGAGATTAGGTCATTCTTGCGGTCAGATCTGAACACCCGGGCAAAGCACACGACCTGGGGGACAAAGGTGCCTCGACTACCCCTCCCCGACCGTTTCTGCGCAGAGCCACCGGGGGCCACTCACCGGGCCGTAGTCGCGGCGCAGCTGCTCCTCGCCGCGGAAGCGCACGTGGAGCCGGTAGCGCGCCACGTACAAGTTCTCCGAGCAGAAGCAGGCGCAGCGGCAGAAGCGCCGCGGGGCCCCCGCCGTCGCCATGGTGAAGAGGCGGGCGCCGCCGCGCCGGGTTCCGTAAGGGCACTTCCGGCACGCCCCCGGAGCGGGCGCCGGTGTAGAACGGGAGGCAAGGGTCCGTTCTAAGTTCCCTAGAGCAGAAGAGAACGAAGACTCCGCCCCGGAGAACGGACCGGCGATGGAGAAAGGCGCTCTGGGGTCGGAAGGGGGCGAGCAGCCTCGGCTGACAGAGCGTGTGGTCTCCCCGTTCCGCCCTCAGCTTCCCCACCCACGAGGCGGAAATTAATCGCCCCACTTTACAGATAGGCAAACTGAGCCGCACCTTCACATGGGCGGGGACAAGTCGGGACTTGCAACCCCAAGCCGCTTTGCTTCGACGCTGCCTTCCTTTTCTGTTCGGAGCTCCTGAAGAGGCAGCCAACGCCAGGAGGACAGTCAGAGGACTTCTGGCGTCTGGTCTCGTTCTCTCCAACGACCAACTCTCCAGTTCTGTGCGTCTGAACTTGAGCGTAGCATTCGGCCCGGGTCCCTGCCCGGCGCTCCTCGCGCCTCCGCCACAGTCTCGAGATTCGCGGCTGGCGGCCCCGGGAAGTGTCTCCTCGAAAACGCTCCGTCCAGCGTGACTTCCGGCGGCTGCTGCGAAGGGGACAGGTGTGGGCGGGGAACGGGGCGTGGTCTGTTGGAGGCCACGCCCCGCACGACCGCCGGCCGTTTGCACGGCGCACCGCCGCGGACGGAGGAGAGCAGCGCGCGCTCCTCCCCAGGCGCCGCCCGTCCGCGCTCCCGCGTGCCGTGTCTGAGGGACCCCGTCTCGGTCCGCCCTGCCCCCCCCCCCCGAGCCCGGAGCTGCGAAGCCCCGGGAAGAAGCTTGGACGGCAGCCCTGCTGCTAAGATGGGAGAACTAGGGCTCCGAGTAGGGGAGGAAGGCGTGTCCCCTGCAGCAGCCGCCTGCCCCCTGTCCTAGAGTTCCCTCCGTGGCTCAGTGTGGCGTGGGGGGGGGGGGGGC